TTTTCATGATTACAGGCTTAGTGAGATCATTTTTCAATCATTGTCAAAAACTGTACAAATAATGATTAAGCTAGGAAATTCTTGTACGAAATCTGCAAGTATTTACTAATACAGCATACATTTAATATAATCCGAATACGTAATAGATTGCGATCTATAATTAGCATCGGCACACGTTGGCTAAAAATCATTTTCCTTCCCGTTCCAAAGTTCGTGTACGAGAATTTCAATGTTGAACGCAATTTGCAACAAAATGAGCGACGGTCAGACATCGAGGGCATCGCAAGCATCGATCAGACAAAAGTATCGCCCGCGGCCGTTTGCACGCGTTCAACGATCACTCTAAGAGAAATCATTAACATCTTCGGTTTCGAGATAAATACTCGCAGGTCGTACCGCGGACGTCGCAGGGAGCAGAACGGATAAGCCACTGCTGGGCTTTTCGATTTTTGCCTCGCCGGTTCTGTCAGTGATGAGGTCTCTTCGATTCATCGGATGATCGATGATCTACCAATTTCCCTGACGTCAACAAATCATCTCAACGTGCTATCTCTCAATCGCGAATTGATTTCGCTGAACGTCAATCGTTAATACAGTTTGCTCGGAGTAATTTACAAATTACTGCCTGTCTGGTAATTTAGAATCCGAAGCTCGTCGAAACGAGCTGCAAGTCATCATCATATAATCGTGATTGAACTTTGAGAATTACGTTTCACTGGCATTGCCTCGTGAAATAGAATTTTCAGTTTATTGTAAAAAATTATGTATGATATTACGAGAACGTACGTATTTAATTATGCTGAGTATAATCTGGAATTAGTTCAGAGAGATTATCCAATGCCGTCACTAAGGACACGATGTCGGAATAAGAATTATTTTTTACAATCACGAATCTTGATCATCCGCCTCGCCTTCTATCGCCACGCTTCCTTTTTTAATTCCACTACGCGGACGTTTTCATCATTGCAATTAATCGAAGACGTTTCACGCGTAGCTAATTAATTCAACGGGCGTTACCCGCGTCCGGAAGGTAAATAGTAAATACGTACAAAAGGGCGTTATCTGGTAGCGTTATCACCGGTATCGCGTGAGCAGCCAGAAGCCACAAAAGGATCACGGCCGATGTAATTCGTAATTGCTGGTTATTATCGTGCCGAGAGACTGAACACGTTGAGCGCTCGCCGGTTCTTGTCACAGGATGCATTGATGCGTCTATTAAGAGAATTTGCAAGTATGATTCGATGCAAGGAGGAGTTTCAGATATGTAACGCCGACGCCTCTCGATTTCGTGATTCGTACGCATCAACGCACCTTAGGAAATTACTACCACCGTCCTACAAGCTTCTTTTTATACCCTTTACCTTTCCATCCGATTACGGTACCTAGTGTTACCATTAAAAGCTTTTTAGGCGAAGTGACTTGTACTAGCTGTTACGTAAAGTCGTTCGGAAATTTATAAATAATTGTTATATCATTTATACTGGTTAGCGTTCTTTTCCGTCCGCTGCTGCAATACTGACATAATTAAAAGATTGATGACTTTCCGCCAGTTGAGTCTAAACGTCTCGAATCTCGTTCTTCATCTGTACGATATAAACATAAGATATTCAACTAGGAGGAGATTATTGTATGTAATACAAATTGAAACTCGGTTTTTCTCTTCGCAGCAGAAAAAGCTTACATTAGTTCTAAATCAGTTACTATAAATACTTAAGAGACATTAAGGATAATGAAATGCTAGTAGGAGATATTCAAATGTGTATCAACTGGAAAATGTTAACGACGTGCAATCATCTGACATGTTAATTGATTTTATACGTATAAAAAGAGACCCGCGTCGTTAACATGTACACGTACGAATACATACAGGTATCTCACAATGTTGTACACAAGTTCCTGCGAGATGAAAAAAGGAAATGGCTTAGAAAATTCTCGGTGAACCCGATGCTTACAGTAAAATCATCGTTCCAATCCACTCTTTCTTATTACATGCTCGCCCGTTATAACGCGTCCACGAGATAGAAACGCACGCGGCCTCAATGAGTCGGCTAATTAGTTTATTACGCCGCGCTAATTTGTATGACCATAAATCGCGATCGCAGGTATTACATGGAATGCGTAATGCACAAGATACGTTTGCGTGTCGTGGATTCGTATGTATGGTAGTACAGTATGTACAACGTAGCTCTAGGTAGCCTGCAAATGTGATAGAAATGACTGGCAAATTTTCAAGCCGCTTGTTCTCTCTCGCACCCTCGTTCTCCTCCCTGTTTCCTTCTCTCTCTCTCTCTCACTCTGACTCTCTCTCTCTCTTGTGGTAATCACTCCATCTAAACCGTCTAATCGAGCGTGACGCATCTAATCGAGTATTCGCGGTACTGTTGCACCTTGGAGAGTGACCGCTCGGGAAGAAATAAATTAATATCGTACGTTTTCCAATACCCGGCGATGAAATAATCAATGACGAGTCAATTAATGCCAATCAATTAATAGCGATGTACACGATTTTATATTTCCGTATGTTCGAATCTTCTCACTGTAAAAGCTGTTATCTTTAAAAAGTAATCACTATCAGCGATGAATTAATTAATGCACAAATCCGGGAACGAGTGTGTAACGTTAATTTGTGGTCTGACAACCTTTTCTACTTGAAGAATAAATTAGATTGTATTAAGATAAGATAAATTAGAATTAGATTGTATTTTTAAATTCTGAAACTTAATCAACCTGTGTAGAAATATTATGTACCAATGATTTCTCTAATTTTTTGACGTATGCTTCAAAGTCTTTAGGATTTGAAAAATGTTTAAGAAACAAATTCAATTGTTAGTCTCCAAAAAAGGTAAGCTTAGATCGAGTTGCACGAATCTTCGAGTGTTGGCTGTAGTATACCGACCGCGGAGAACAGTCGCTTCCTTCTGCCGTGAAATTACAGTGTTTACGCGAATTAGATTTCGGTTTCGGTAATTTTCAGTTAATAACGAAGCGAGCTGGCCAACGAACGAACGAACGAGCATTAAGCGTGGCTCCGAGCCCATTAATGCTATTATAATGTAAAAGGCTACCTACACTGCGTTCCTCTCTCGCTTTCTTACTCTCTCTTTCCCTCCCTGCCTGTAACACGAACCCGCGATGCTGCACGCATTCGATATTTATGGCAAAAGCCAACAAAAATGAGAAGAAACCCATCGCCACACCGTAACGCGGCTTAGATCTCTCGCTTATCGTTCGCATTACGCGCTCAGGCTACCTACATTATAAACTCATTTCCGATAAATCGGGCCTGACTAAAAACAGCTGCACGAACCGCTTCTCGTCTCTCTTCTTTCCTTTTACCGCATTCCTTATTTTCGATCCGAATGAATTGCCGAAAACCAATTCGAATGTTTCGAAAATTCGTACAGCAGCGGTAAAATGACAATGTTTCTTGCAAGCAAATGTTGATTTAAGTATCCACTCGTTCCAAGTAGATTAACTGATTTTCTGACAAACTCTTTATCCTTAAAGAAAACTTAAATGGAAAAATTGTATGTCGATAAAAGATAAACGCTGCATGTACTTTATAAAAATATGCAGAATATAAAAATCAGAATATATATTGCAATATTTAAATACTAAAAGAAGTTTCTGTATAGAATGCATCTTTTTAACTAGTATAATAAATGTTTTATTTTGCATCAAAATCCGCACTCTTGTTATCAACAGTTCAACAGGACTAGAGACGAATTATTAGAGTCACAAAAGAAAAGATCACGACTTGTTCCGAAGTACAAATCGTAAATCGTGAATGGGAATTATCAGTAGCAGGCTTGTAAGCACGAGGCTGGATCCTTCGTTCGGTACCTGTACCTATGTCCGAGGTATCGATCGCGCGTGAAAATGATTCTGGTCGTTACAAGCAAATCGAACGGCTGTTACATGATCGCTCACAGCCGTCGAACGTGCCGAAGTGTGGGCTTGTAGGGATCATTAATGCGGCAAGGTCGGTGAAAGGAATGATAGCTCTGTCCTCTTCCTCCTCCTCCTTTCTCTCTCTCTCCATTTTTCTCTTTCTCTCTCTTTTTCTCTCTGTTTCCGTCTCTCTGGGTGTTTAATACAATCCCGTTCAAAAATAATCGCCCGCAAATCCTGAATAATCAGAAAGTCTAATGTCTAAGATCTTTTAATTATGCGAGTACAGTCAAATGCCTGTACTCGCATAATTAAAAGATCTTAGACATTAAACAAATAGTCTCAAAGTCTTAGACTCTAAACAAATACAATTTTATTAAATACTTAGTTTCTAGTAACAGATCTTAAGATTCTTGAAACGAATGTTAAAACGTTAATACATACACATGTTTAGTGGCTGACATTGAGACTAAGTGAACGGTTAAGATTTTCATATCTCTCATCGATGCATGTTATCAAATGTAATAACGATAAAAACGAATCAAGAATATCTCAAGAAAGAAAGAACAGATGTGGTTTAATAAAACCACTAGAACTTCCGTACTAGTTTTAGATTGTACTCTGATAATTTGACATTTTAATTACTCGACAAGCAGCTGCGACTCGATCTTCTTAAGCTGGTTCTATTAAAGTACAAAACATTGAAGGAGAAAATATGTATAGAATTACAGTATACAGATATCACTCTCGTATGTGAATCATATGTACATATGTATCTTCAAATAACTACATAATAATTAAAAATATTTTCTTTCCTACATATAACTGGTGTAAAATCATAATTTAATTTTGTAAACTATAGTAATGTATGTTAAACTAAAATTTTGGAAATTCTTAATACACACATTCGCTTTACTTCAGAACTTTAATAAAATCACGTTAACTATGAATATTTATTATTGTCTATTATCCATTGCGACTTTTCGTAACTAATAAGATTTTATTATCAAACTATAGGAATAATCTCTGACATTTACAATCGAGTAAAAACCTTCCAGTACAACGAGTGGCTGGATAATTGGCGAATAAAGTCATCTTTTTGATTATAGATCATTTAACGCGCGGAGGAGGCGGAGGTGGAGGAGGAGGAGGAAGCGAAGAGCAGGGTGTCCCGCAGACGAGTCCTGCGAGCAGCACGAGTAGCTCGAGCCAGGTAAATCCGGTGAACGTACAACAACAGGCTCATCAACCACAATCGCTTTCGACGACGACGATAACACCTACAACGACGACAGCAATAGTCCAGTCGAATCAAATGGGAATCAGTACGGAAGATGTGAGGGCCGAGGACGAGGGCAACCACCCTAGAGCAGCGCCTACCAGCCCTGAAAGCGAAACCGAGGTCGACGACTTCACACCGAAAAGGAAGCAGCGAAGATATAGGACCACGTTCACCAGCTTCCAGTTGGAGGAACTCGAGAAAGCTTTCTCGAGGACTCATTATCCCGACGTGTTCACCAGGTACGTACTACGTACTTGCTATGCGCTAAGTCGTTTCGGCAAATCTTTCTCCTGGATGTACTGTGTACATATTAAATTCAAACAATTTCCGCTCGTACACGAACTACAAATGACTAACCAATGCGTTGAACGCGTTGTCAGCTGAAAAATTATAAAATGTAAAAAAGAAAATAGGCTTGTATTAAAAATCGGCTGATCTCGACATTTGCATGTAATTAGTGAACTCAAGCTGTGAGTAGCAGTCAATGGAAGTAACAAATTATTTGAAGTAAAGTATTACACTTGCTATGCTGGCATTTCATATGTGTATCAACCTAATAATACATAAAACTAAAATCGTGAAGCGATCCTTCCATCCCTGAAATTCGTTTCTTAATGGATTCTACAGTCTGAACGAATTTACGATCGGAGGTACAGGTAGACCTTGGGCGCAGTCATAAACCAAACTTGAATATCTCAACGACGTCGTCGGCCAACCGAAATAACTTATTGTTAACGAAATTATCGGTCTCTTTTGCGAAAAATCCTTTTATTCCAAGTGATCACGCAAGGAAACTAACTTCAGATATGAGATATTTTTCCAAGAACCCTATCGTCGGCGATGTAATTCTTTTCTTATAATTTTCCTTTTACGCAGTACGCGTTTTCTTCGAAAGCATCACGTAGAAAAAGTAATTTGAGAAACGCAACGTAGGTAGTTGATTCTTACAACCAGGCATGATCGACGAGCTTCTCGATGGAATCTCGCGAAGCTCGGGAAAATCTATCGATTCGGGGAAAACGACAAGCGGGGCATCGATCATCGCATTTCTCTCCGCACTCGTACGTATTCGTGGTCATGCAAATTCTCTTACCTGGCGCGGCGTCTAAACGATGATTTCACGTTATTAACTTCCCATTGGGGGTATCCAGTTGCGTAGAAGAGTAACGTGCCGGCAACAGGGTATAGCGCAATCTATCTGACTGGGCTTTTTCTCCCGTCTCGTTCTTTTTTCCCCCCGTAACCGCTTCTTTCGTAGCCGATGGAACACCCGGTAGGTAACTAATAGCGGTGTAATCGCTCGTAATAGGTCCGGTCCTCCGGCTACGGTATAGGTTCTCGTAATTAACCAACGTAGAAACGATATACAACAGTAAATCGGGTATAGCTTAGCTACTTGTTCGATGTATACCAACAGATAGAGCGAAACGCGTAATACAGTTATTGTGAAATTTTAGCTGAAAATATTTCGCCTCACGAAGTGATAATGCTTTGCCGATTCGACGAATCTCTTCTATTACATTTTGAATCCTTCATACTAATTCATATTTATTTCACTGAATAAATTGCTTGTACTCGAAAAAACATACTCGAGTTTGGTTGGCACTACATCGTGCATTTAGCAAAATTTATACAAAATAATAAAAAATTTTGGTGATCTGGAGAATTTGCAGTGAAAACGATTAGCGTAATAGAAGATGAATGTCTAGCAGGATACTCGGAACAAAAACTTCGAGAAATATCTTATTACAGTTACCGTAGAGGTGGACGAGATCCTGCTCGAGTCTTATCGAAAAATTCCGAGCCGGGACTCGTGTTTCGAGATAAAAGCCTAATGTATTTACGTGGCGTCCCATCGTGTCGACGTAAAATCCGTGTCCCGCTGCTCCAATCTAGCTCACTTCTAATTTCTACGGATATGTCTTTAATATCAGTAGCGAAGGCTAATTTTGCAATTTCCGAAGCTTCTCAAAATAGATCGCACCCTCCGATAAAGAAATTGATCGTTTTTTAGTGAGGCCAATTTCGCTGTTGCTACCGGCAATCTATCGCATCCTAATCGCGGATCATTTCCTCTTCGCGTCAGCTCGTTCGATATCTCCTTGTTCTTGTTTGATAGAAATTAATCCCTTCTTCCCTCTCTCTAATAATTTCTTATCCGTCCTCTCTCTCTAATTCTCTCCCTTCAGTGTTGGAGTATTAATTTCACACTAATTGGATTTTATGGTCGCTTAGGTTTATTGACTAGCTTCACCGAAGAGGAGTTGGAAGCAGGTAAGCTCTGCTCGTGATCGTGTTGCATATTCATTAACCGCTTCTACGGAGAAGAGCGTGCGATCGGTTCTATCGGAAACCAACTGCATGGCTCCGCCAATTTCTTAAGAAAAACCAAACGCGCATACGCAAAGAATTTGTTCGGATGAACGAGGTCGAGAAGACTTGTGAACGCGATCCAATATCCTGATACAACGAGGACGTTGTAGGCCTTAAAACGCGCAGCCACTTACTTTTACGAGCTCTTAAGATCTAATTTAGATTAGAATCGTGTGGTCCCAGCTACCGTACCACCGTTCGGCCAAATTCTTCTACCAAATAGTGAACAGCTTTCAACACAGGTTCCTACTATTTCTTTTCCGTTCCTCTCCTTCGTTTGTTGTTGTCGTTAAAAATTCTGTACTTCTACTTAACGAATATATTTTGTCCGAAGGATAACGAATCAGACGATATGCAATGATAATTTAGTTCCAAATTGATTCGGGAAAAAATACTATGTGATAGTCAGACTTTTCTTTTATTGTTTCATGAACTTTAGAGAAAGATTGTAGAACGAGTCTCGGTTATAAAAATTGTTCACTCCAAACGCGAACGGTGCGGTCCACCTGTTTCAAAGGGCAGAGAAACACGGTTCCCGGTAAATCATTCCGCAGTACATCCGTAGTGGGGCGGCGGCCGGTGGTGAGTTTAATAAGGATGATTGTTTCCAGTGATCCGTGGAACAGAACCAGTTCCACGGAGCCTATGGTTCCCCCGGCTGCTTCTCGAATCTCTGTCCTTCTCCACGTTCCTATACCTGGCCTCAACTACCCGTACCCCGACTTGTAACTTCTTCTGTCATTAATCGACCGACGCGACGAGTCATGCTCTCGATTAGAAACGCGAGCCGCGCCGCCGCCGCTCCACGGTCTTTCTTCCCGATCCGTTATGTATAGGTACCCGATTCCGTTCCCGTAGCCAAACGAGATTAGTGCCACGGCGATCGCTAATTAGAACGACGACACGCTCTCTAATTTTCGCTCCTTCGTCGTTAATTTCGTTACACGAGTAGTAAAGACGCTACAATCTCTGTTAAGCTTCTTTTTCCTTCCGTTTTTAAAGAAAGATTCTCATAATGGCAATGACAAGCGCGGGTGAAAGATTTCAAGAAAACATTAAGAGAGCCAATCGATTTCAGAGAAAACCTTCATTTGTACTTTTTTTCACTGAACTTTCTAACCGAACCCTAACCAATCATCCTTCGCACGGTTTCGCATCAAACGATTCGAACGAGAGAGGATCGATCGACGACAGTGTGGCCAATCGGTAATTGGCCCGTTCACGGACCGCGACCGTCCGATTGCGCGCGTTAAACCGTCTGTATTACACGCGTGCATACGAGTTTCGTACGCATCTACCGGATTTTGCTTTTCTCCTTTCATTTTACTTGCAATCGGAACCGCAGCCGTATTTGCCAGATGCGAACGATCGGAAATCTCATCGTTTTCTCTTCTCTTTACCTTATTCAACATCAGACGGAGTATCGTTCTCCGTTTCCGTTACGTATTACGATTACGGCGAATTAATTTCCTGTACAGCACCATCGATAGAGAGAGAAAAGTATTAACCGCGCTCGTGATACCGTCGAAATCGTCCGTAATACCGTGTCATTCCACCAGTAATTGCCGTTTCGAGCGAAACATTCTAGCGTCGGGTCGAGACGTATGATTTATACCGAGGATTAATGGCGAATTCCAAGGGTTGTTCGTTGACCAACCTGATCGTTAGAACGGAGATGGATTGCATCGCATTATGCACGGATATTACCTCGTCGCTACCAAGCTTTTCTATCGTCTTCACTCGTCATAGATCTGCCGCGCGCAGTGCACACCACGTGTATACTATGCATATGTACATATGTATACACGTTATTGTAAATCCTTCTTTCGCCGCTCCGTGTATAAAATCACTGACTGCTATTATACTTATACACTATGATAGGTACATGTCTCACTTGAAAACGTTCGAAATCATCGCTTGATTGATATCCGGTTGCAATAAAACGACGGATAGACAAAGCAGAGGATAGTCAGGACAACGTAATATGGGAAATAATTGCGTAGCGTATGCTGAATAAACGCGAATAAGGAAATGATAACTTTTTCGTGACTCTCGACATGAAACAAAATTACGATCTCAATTTAGTCATTGTGAATAAATAATCGTTTTTTAATATACCTAATTCTCTTAATATGTATAAGGAATCGACGTAAAAGATAAAAGTATAAATAGAATCCTTTAATGTAAAAGGAAACTACAGAACGATAATCGAGAATAGTTTTTTAAGCAGAAATTTCTTAGTTAGGGATTGATCGTAGTACAATTTCCAAGAACCTCGATCAGGAACGGCGACAATCCCGAGCATGTTAAACAATAACAATTACGGTTGCGCCACAAGGGACAATCACGAACTCGGCTCGGCGACCGGCTGATTCGCCCTCCGAGGTTAATTAGATAATGTAATTGTCCGGCAATTACACGAATTACTCGCGCGCCGAGTCTCCCTTGACTGCATCGCGCACGCCATTCTCCTTCTCGTTCTCTCTTTCTCCTGGTTCTTTTCTCGTCGATCGCTCATGCCACCTGTCATTTTCCATCGCCGTTCGAAACGTGTGGGATTTATGCAAACACGCTGGTTACTATGCTGTGAAAAATTCATGCACACGTGTTACTCCCGACGGTGGAAGGAAAAAAGCGACTTAATTAAAGCGATCGAGTCTCGTTAGAACGTGAGACTGATTATAATATGAATATAATTACTTTTTATTCCTCGTGTCACGAAACGCGAGATCTATCGCATAATTTTCCAACGACACATCGCGCCGTCGCGGTATTTATTCTTCTTAGAAAAATATATGCGGTCTTAATTGGCCGAGACGAGAAACGTAATGAGATCGGACGAGCGATATCCAAAGTAGCCAAATACACATTGACAACGACTGTTATTAACTATTAAAGTTAAATGTCGCGAGACATTATGTACCTACACGCAGAATCCTTCTTGTTATCAACATATTTAAGTTGCGATTTAATCCGGTCGAAAGGAAATAGAGTGATCGCAAAAGAGTTTTTAATCTACTTAGCAACCGCTTTGATAGTCGATTGCGAAACTCTTAGTTCCGCTGTTACGTCTCGCCGGGTTTCCGAAGCTAATTTCAAATCGCGATCACTCGCTTGACTATCGCAACGACCAATCGTATCGCAGCGGGCACTTTACTTCCTCTCTTATTACGTGTGCTCGTTCACACGATTGCGATGATTATTAACGCTTGTTGTAATAGACTCAGAGGAAACGAGCGTTTTTGCGAATCATTTAATAAATACATTTAACGATTACTGATAGTGCAAAATCAAGTAAACAGTTTTGATACATGTATTGTAACGATCATTAATTGTGTTAATGAATGATACGTCTCTAAATTGTTGGAAAACTGAAATAGCATTGTATATAAAATAAACATTTTTTAACTGATAATTATGTACAAAATCTACATTAACTTCATTAGATAACAATTAAAGGTAAACTTAAGATTATATAATGATCGAAGCAAAATTTCTCTGTAATTATTTTCGTAATGAAATCATAATTTCTCGTCTGTGTAACATATTACCTGCTTCGCGTCGGTCGAATTCGTGAAACCAAGATGCACGAGTGTAAGTAATCCCAAGCAGCTTCCCGAGAGTAAAACTCGCAACTAGCACATTTCCCATGACAAGGACAGCAAAGAGAAGGGGAAGATATTCACGTAATATGTAATAACAACAACGATACGCGAATCGAGGGTAACCGAGTCAGTCGGGAGTGAACGGCGGGTGTAATTAGGGACGGCCGTCTAACCGCGAAATTTCGTGATCTTATTAAATCCAGAAGGACGGTCGTGAGTGTGCCGAGGGAAAAAGGGAAAGGCTAAATTATTATTGCTCCCAGGCCAAGGTGCTCGCTCGTTCGCGTTCGCTCTCGAGAGACCCGATCTCCCGAGAAAAAGACACCGCGAGACGAGATTTTACATTAGAAATGTTCGCAGATAAAATCCTGTGAAATAACCAGTTCTCTGTTGACGATTAATATAAAACTGATCGAACGTGTCCCATTCAAGACTAGGCCGAAATGATATACGAGTATATTACGCTTGGTTTGACATAAATTTAATTATAGACTCGGCTTATCTCGCGAATTCGACAACGATCACGTTCCTAATTCCTGACTGATTTTATAATTATTTTAATTAAATTTCTTCTTTATCTATTCGCTAGACTTGACACGATTGATGTCGTGTAAAATTTTTGTTCTAGCACCATATCGTTTCAAGTTACTTGATTATGCAAATTACAATGCCCAGTAATTATACATACATACATACATAGAACATACATACATGTATAGAAAAGGACAGACTTCTTCCTAGCATATCTGTAACACGCAAAAATACGATATTCAGTATGGAAAATATTGCTGCATATATCATATATCTTTTATGGTAAACTAAAGTCGGCAGTGATAAAAATGGTTGACAGCGTATTTCAAAGTGATCGGAATTGGAGAAGTGAGTCCTTGACCATAATTACCAGACATATACATAACAAAAGTTTCCAGTAAAATTCGTTTAAAGAAATTTAACTTGTTCGCTCCTCTGTAAATTCGAGCGAGGCGGGGTTCGTGCGAGTACTTATTGTTAGCTGCTTGCTGGAATCGTGTCTAAATGATGAGATTGAAGCCGAATCGGAGGGCAGCTTCTGTGCGCGGATGTAATCACCGAAATTCCGCTTCGCGATTTCGTGGAACATCTGGGCAATTTGCGTGCGAGATGAGAAAAAGGCCCTGCGGGCCCGTCTACCGAACCTTTTTTTCGGCCCGCAAAATCCTTAGAAATTGTGAAACGAGGATAGCTTCCGGAGTTCAATCCTTGCTCGCAAGACCGTGATGTACTATGCGCGCTGCTTCGATTTTTACCTCGTCGATGATCATGTAATAGAAGTTCAAGGAGGCGGGGGTAAAAACCGAACGAAGAGCAAAAACATTGTTCGTAGAAAAAAAGGGAAGAAGAGAGGATATTCGTTCCACAGAGGAACTTGAATTGGAATTTCGTTACGAAAGCCGCTTACGACTTCACAATCGCGACTAATAATGATTTAATTTATTATAAATAACGATATGCGAGATGCCTTATGCACCATCGCTCAATGTGTATACATATAAAGAGATATAATCTGCTCAACCAGCGTAGAGCAATTATGAAAATGTTACACTGCTTTATACGCAGTGTATATGCTAATTTATGCTGGCAATTGAATTGAGAACCGCGAATGTCGGAAGACTGTAATGCGATTAATTAAATATTTTGCAGACGTTTTAATTAACTTGATAAACGTACGATTAGTTTTATTCTCTTCGTACTTTTATCGCAATCGCTCACTCCATGTA